TAAATTTAAAAACAGGGCCCAAACAAATTTTTTTTTTTTTTTTTTTTTTTTTTTTATTGTTTTTGCCAAACATTGAAACTTTATTGCAAGAACCAAAAGAATTCATGCACTGTGTTGTGGCATCAACAGAAATGGGTTTTTTTTGTAGAAAATCTGCCTTTTTTTCCTCTTTGTGGGATGAAATGCAGTGTAATCCACCCTCACTTTGGAGACGTGGCTTCACAGTAGACTGGTGGTCTTTTGGGACAAGTACAACCTCAGCAGGCCTTGCTTATATTATGCAGATTAAAAAAAATACTGCAGTTTAGATACCTCTGGATTATTTCCACAGTGTCACAGATTTGTTATACTTGAAGCCCTTTATTTCTAAGAGCTCTACTACTTGCTCAATTATCGGTGCGGCTCCTCACTTTGCAACGGAGTGGCAAATACTGTTTTTTCCCCTATTCCAATAACAGACCGGCTTCTTCTCTCTGCAGTTACCTATGTTATTTCCTTTTTGTTGTCAAACATGAGGTACCAAATATAATGCAATAAAACCTTTTGAAAAATGTTACTAGTTGAGCCAATCTGACCGAATCATGCGATTCCTCAGTTATAGCTACTGCATACACTTAAGCCAATCTGAAAGAATCATGTGATCTCTTGCTCACAGCTACCGTGTACCCTAAAGAATCAGACACATTTTTAGAGAACTCAACTGTAGTTTTAGTAGATGCTGAAAAGTGCCTCTTATCCCTGGCAGGGGCTGGAATGTGGGTTCTCAGGGCTGCAATCTACTAATGAAATCTTACTCCTTCGCCATTCTCTAAAATGGCATCGAAATGATTGGGAATGGTGGGTTTTGCTTTTAATGGCTATAACAGGGACCTGAGAACGCATTCTGAGCTCTTTTATTGAAGTCCTTGAATAAAACGGGAAGCCTGTGGTGATTCAAAATACTGACCTGTATTTCAGATCAGTTTTATGTAGCCTGGTCAATTAAAAGAAAAAAATATATATAAATGATTGGGCTACCTAAAAATATATATAATATAAAAATAAAATACCCCTTTTGGAAAGGTAGTTTAAGCTGCATCTCCCTGTGAGTGAATTTAGCGCCACTCAAAACTGAGTAGAGTGAAAAGGAAATAAACTCAAGTCTTACTTATGTCACATTACACACCGTCATTTGCAAGATCTTTTGGCTGCCTCTGACTCTAAATGGTATTGAACCATGCAGCAGGCCACAAAGTCTACATGTATCTCCATTTAACTGAAAAGTGACTGCATGAGGGATATCAACGAAGATTGGCTTGATTCAGTGCTTTGCAAGCTTCAGGAGAGAGAAGATTATGAACTTTGATATGTTTCACCCTTCCCCAATTAAATAAAGAACATGTCCCGCTTTTATCTTTACTGGTAATAATGAGTGTCCTGTATAAACGCTGGAGCAGTGTGCTGTTCCCTACATACTAATCACATGTGAATTCATATTGAACCTTTGCCCTGGGTTTCCTAAATACAAATCTGTTTTCACCGTTGCACCAGGCCTGGGCTTGAACAGAACAAGTAGAACTATTTAAGCAACCAGAGGAACCCATATGTATGTTGTGGTCTACTCACTCTTCATATCTTTTTCATCGTGCTATGATCCGCTTTCGTCATTGCACAGTGAATAACTTAACCTCATGGTTCTTTAAACTTAGAAGCTTTTATTATAAGGGTAATTAAAGTTGCAATACACTAGAGAAGATTGTCTTGCAATAACATTTGTAGTGTGAACTACCAGAAGCTTTATCAGGCTTTTACTGTAAATCATCAAAAACACAAACTGGGAATGTTTGGAATTGTTTAAGAGGTGAGATTTCACATGCAGTATTACAGCTATTCTGAGGAAGATGACTCCAAGAGCATAGTGTGTGGCCAGAATGAAGCCAGGCCTTTTGCATAATACCCGAGTGTATTGGGCTGCTTCTAAATTTGGCATCTGTGCAAATGTACTGAGCTTATCTAAAAAAAACTTGCTGACATTGCTTCAGCAATCTTGCATAAATGTGCATGATTAAGCTACATAGGACCGCCTTCTAGTCAAACATCTTTTGGGAAATTTTAATAAAATGGTAAGGTGTCATTTTTGGAAAGTTTACTATTAAACAACCCTGCTCATTTAATTCTGACAAATGCTCGTACAATAATTTATACATGCTGATTCTGGTTTAGACTCCTGTGCATAGTGCGGTTTCTGAATGGGTGCCCATTTTTTCTGTACTGCCCCAATACCCCGTTGTTTTTGGCTTTCCAGCCAATAGGCGGTGCTAACTTTCCAAAAAAATCTTTAGGAATTACCGACAAAAACATGCTCCATATTGAGGTAAGTAGTGATGAATTCTGGGAAGTCCCTCTTTTGAACCACCTCCATGAATATTTCAGATGCAGTTTGAAGTCTTCCTTTCTGTCTATAAAGTTAATTAAAGAAAAGTCATATAAATTGGTTTAATGTCCACTTGTTTTCTCCACACATAATGGAATAACCTCCATTCACAATGAAAGTAAATGCACTTAAAGTGTTTCTTTGCCCAGACTATACACATTAACAAGCCGTAAAAGCTTTAGGGTGAATAATGATACACCGCGCTATTCAATCTAAAAATGCATAGGAATAATCCTAAATTAATTGTGCTAATATTAAAAATAGAAAAAAATGCACTAGACCATAAAAACAAGGTAACCAGGTAGTGTAAAAAAACAAAACTTAATTGTCCATAATAGTATTAAAATTCTCAAATGTTCATATAGAAAGTGACAAAATCAGCCACAGTGTTTGTGTAAAAAAATGAGAAAATCCACTCATCAAACTAATAAGACATGATTACAATAAAAAAAACAAAAAACGTGAGCAGTATATATGAGGGTAATAAGTAGTCTATAAAATCATCTGGTCCAAAAGGATGCTTCAAGCAATTGCTCCAAGATATTAGGCAAATCTATCCAGATCTCTCAATGATTCATATAAATCAGAATGGCAGGCAGTGCAAACAAGGAGATGATGAGCGATCCTCAGATAGACGGAAAGGCTATTCCTCCAAGATGCCCCACAGGACCATCACCGTACCCAAAAGAGAAAGAACTCCAATAGTATTGTAATCATAAGTCTTATTAGTTTGATGAGTGGATTTTTTCATTTTTTACACGAACACTGAATGATTTTGTCATTTTCTATATAGTTATCTATGTCGGGATCCGGACATCGATGTCGGGATCCGCTCCGGCGGCTCCGTATATAGAGAGCTGTAGCTCGCGGTATACTGAGCTTAGGGTAACGGGATGACGCTAGTTTGTGTCCTCCCATTACCCTCAGGAGAACTATGGGGAAAAGCCCTGACCCCATAGTTCTCCTTTAAAGCTGAACTCCAGAAATAACTAAATACACAGTTACGATGCATAGGTGGGAGGTGTTCTTTTTTGCAATTTTGTACAAACAGCCCTGAGATTTAGCAAGCACTGTCAAATGGCACCTGACTTGCCTGTAGTTAAGCAATACAGCCTGGCCACCTCCTTTCCCCTGCCTATGACTAGACAGTGAAGAAGCAGCAGAATATTAATCATTGTTCCTGTAGGCATGCAGCCTATCTGATTGACCCCTAGTTTAGTCTCTCCCGATCTGAGTCCTGCTGTAGATTAGTTTACAAGAGGCTGATAGTAATTGAAATGTAAGTACCTATACTAGGTGCTGGTGCATTTAAAATACATTTCATGATGTTATACCTAATTCGTGTATTTTTACACAAGTATGCAGCTCTGTCTAGTTTGAATTCCCCAAGGCTCTTTGTAAAAGTGATGTCCTGTGTGAATGATAGCCGATAACCTACTATGTGGCCTTGTCCACTACAAAACAGAAGTATCATTATAAAAAAAATAACAAGGAAAGAACTAATTTGACTTTCTAAATTGAGGCTATTGCACCGAAAACACATGTGAATGCTACATGTAGCTTTGCCGTGTTTTAGGTGCAGTAGCCTCAACTTCTAAAGTCACGTGAGTTATTTTTCTTGTTATTGTTTCTAGTGATCATTTTGCATGCATAGTAGTAGAAGGTCAATATCCTCCCCTAGAATACATCCCAGTGTGGCTCCTTTTCCTACTCTCCTCAGTGGATATTTAATTGAAACTTTGTTATTACCAGCCTAAGGGCCCATTCACACCACATCCAGATCATCTCCAGACCAGATTATTTCCGGATCCAAAATGCATCCTAATGTATCCCTATGCTATTTCTGGCCTCTGTTCACACCAGCGCAGTCCGTTCCAGACCAGAAAAATACTGCATGTCTAATTTTGTCTGGTCTGGAATGTACTGGAATTGCGGGCTGGTTCACGCCATTTTCTGGACCAGGTATGACCCTTATAAGGCTGGGCACACACCTTACAACCATCGCAAGACTTTTGTCTTGCGATGGTTGTAAGGTACTTAAAAAAAACGTACGATCTGCCCATCTTGGATAGGCAGATCGTACTTGCGATGATCGCAAGCCACGCCCGCTGAGGGGCGGGCTTCCGCTTACCGCAATGCCGAACGGGCAGTGTGCGCTTACCGGCCCGTACGGGTGTTATCGTACGGACATGCCACAAACCCGCCGAACATCGTACGATGCTCGGCGGGTTTTCGAACATGTCTGTAAGTTTAAAGTTGTGCGACCTTACAGTAGTAGAGGTCACACGGCTTCCACACACCTTTTGATAATCGTACGATCGCGGGATTTCCCGCGATTATCGTAAGGTGTGTGGGGACCCTAATTGTTGTTTCACCACAGCTGGAGGGCCGGAGTTTGGCCATCCCTGCCCTAAATCAACCTGTTCCCGCCAACATGCTTACATGCTGAATTTTGGGTGCATTCACCTACATCTTGCCATTCAAGTATACATAAGCGCTTCAATTCACAAAAGCATAATACTAATGTATTTTCCTTCATGTGCATTATTTGCTCTAACCGGTTTTGTTCTATTTGATAAGGGCATTACTGCATGCCTCCAATGAATTTAGCACTTGATTGTATGGTTTATAAGATTTTATTTCTTAAATTCATGTTTTGCACTGGAAATGAATGAATCAGTGAAAGAAAGCCATGCAACATCTCCCCGTTTCCATTATTGTCCTTTAGATCACCTATGCATATGAGCTCTTACATTTTAACAACAATTTACTGGCATTTTAGTTGTCACATCTGGCAGCTATGGCATAATCTTGTCAAAAGTCCTAATTTCTTCATAACTTTGTTTCCCATTCCACTCAGGAGCAGTTTATATGTGCTTCGTAGGAAGGCGTTTGGCAAGTGGATCTCTAGTTTTAGGAATACGCACCAAATGCCGCTCCATGTTTCTATCATTATGGTGAATGCGGTAGAACATGGTGGGCGTTTGTATTACTATGTACCCAAAACATATTTTGCCCACCAGTATTGTTGATTACCAATGACTGACAACCCCTCCCATGGAATGGTACTGAGACACTGTCTTAATGCCCACCACATATGCATATAGCATTTAACAAGCTTTAAAACAGTGCTATTGTACTGCTTAGCAGAGAAGCACTTGAAACTCTAGGTAAACAATTACAAAACACGTTGTAATGCTCCCATCCTTTGGAGAAGCATTAGACAAGGATTCAAGTGCTAAATCCAAGAGAAAATACGGCCTAAGCATTAATAAAGATTTTACCCAGCAATGCAGCTTCAAGCACTGTCAGTATGAAATGAACCAGGTGCTGGGCCTGTGACAAATAGTCTTTATCAGGTAATTCACCCCCTGATTGTACTTACAGAACTGAGAGCTGAAATTGATCGCCAAGCTCATGCTTCACATCCTGGACAAGACATCGGACCATATTCCTTGTCACCTTCCTGCTGTCATCTTCCAGCTGCACCTGGTGCCTTATCCACTGCCAGACCTAGAACAACCAGGAAATTAGCATTGCTCATCTCATCCACTGCCACACCTAGAACAACCAGGAGATTAGCATTGCTCGTCTCATCCACTGCCAGACCTAGAACAACCAGGAAATTAGCATTGCTCATCTCATCCACTGCCACACCTAGAACAACCAGGAGATTAGCATTGCTCGTCTCATCCACTGCCAGACCTAGAACAACCAGGAAATTAGCATTGCTCATCTCATCCACTGCCACACCTAGAACAACCAGGAGATTAGCATTGCTCGTCTCATCCACTGCCAGACCTAGAACAACCAGGAAATTAGCATTGCTCATCTCATCCACTGCCACACCTAGAACAACCAGGAGATTAGCATTGCTCGTCTCATCCACTGCCAGACCTAGAACAACCAGGAAATTAGCATTGCTCATCTCATCCACTGCCACACCTAGAACAACCAGGAGATTAGCATTGCTCGTCTCATCCACTGCCAGACCTAGAACAACCAGGAAATTAGCATTGCTCATCTCATCCACTGCCACACCTAGAACAACCAGGAGATTAGCATTGCTCGTCTCATCCACTGCCAGACCTAGAACAACCAGGAAATTAGCATTGCTCATCTCATCCACTGCCACACCTAGAACAACCAGGAGATTAGCATTGCTCGTCTCATCCACTGCCAGACCTAGAACAACCAGGAAATTAGCATTGCTCATCTCATCCACTGCCACACCTAGAACAACCAGGAGATTAGCATTGCTCGTCTCATCCACTGCCAGACCTAGAACAACCAGGAAATTAGCATTGCTCATCTCATCCACTGCCACACCTAGAACAACCAGGAGATTAGCATTGCTCGTCTCATCCACTGCCAGACCTAGAACAACCAGGAAATTAGCATTGCTCATCTCATCCACTGCCACACCTAGAACAACCAGGAGATTAGCATTGCTCGTCTCATCCACTGCCAGACCTAGAACAACCAGGAAATTAGCATTGCTCATCTCATCCACTGCCACACCTAGAACAACCAGGAGATTAGCATTGCTCGTCTCATCCACTGCCAGACCTAGAACAACCAGGAAATTAGCATTGCTCATCTCATCCACTGCCACACCTAGAACAACCAGGAGATTAGCATTGCTCGTCTCATCCACTGCCAGACCTAGAACAACCAGGAAATTAGCATTGCTCATCTCATCCACTGCCACACCTAGAACAACCAGGAGATTAGCATTGCTCGTCTCATCCACTGCCAGACCTAGAACAACCAGGAAATTAGCATTGCTCATCTCATCCACTGCCACACCTAGAACAACCAGGAGATTAGCATTGCTCGTCTCATCCACTGCCAGACCTAGAACAACCAGGAAATTAGCATTGCTCATCTCATCCACTGCCACACCTAGAACAACCAGGAGATTAGCATTGCTCGTCTCATCCACTGCCAGACCTAGAACAACCAGGAAATTAGCATTGCTCATCTCATCCACTGCCACACCTAGAACAACCAGGAGATTAGCATTGCTCGTCTCATCCACTGCCAGACCTAGAACAACCAGGAAATTAGCATTGCTCATCTCATCCACTGCCACACCTAGAACAACCAGGAGATTAGCATTGCTCGTCTCATCCACTGCCAGACCTAGAACAACCAGGAAATTAGCATTGCTCATCTCATCCACTGCCACACCTAGAACAACCAGGAGATTAGCATTGCTCGTCTCATCCACTGCCAGACCTAGAACAACCAGGAAATTAGCATTGCTCATCTCATCCACTGCCACACCTAGAACAACCAGGAGATTAGCATTGCTCGTCTCATCCACTGCCAGACCTAGAACAACCAGGAAATTAGCATTGCTCATCTCATCCACTGCCACACCTAGAACAACCAGGAGATTAGCATTGCTCGTCTCATCCACTGCCAGACCTAGAACAACCAGGAAATTAGCATTGCTCATCTCATCCACTGCCACACCTAGAACAACCAGGAGATTAGCATTGCTCGTCTCATCCACTGCCAGACCTAGAACAACCAGGAAATTAGCATTGCTCATCTCATCCACTGCCACACCTAGAACAACCAGGAGATTAGCATTGCTCGTCTCATCCACTGCCAGACCTAGAACAACCAGGAAATTAGCATTGCTCATCTCATCCACTGCCACACCTAGAACAACCAGGAGATTAGCATTGCTCATCTCTTCCACTGCCAGACCTAGAACAACCAGGAAATTAGCACCTCTTTGTAAATATAAATTCTTACATTAAACTACATGGGACTATGCTGAGCCAATCAAAACTCAGCTGCAATAGTTGATGATTAATGTGCAAAGAAAGGATTACACCCCAGAAAACAGAAGTATATGTGCTGCTGGGTACAGCTGACAGGTTCATCATCTATCATGAGATAAATATGGAAGCTGACTCTGCTGACCTATTCTGGCTTCATTTGCTGAGTCACTGGCACAGGACAAGTATAGTCATCAGAAATTTGGAATCACTCAGAGGCCAGCAATGGCACTCCAATGGTTTGTCTCCTGACAGGTGTAGCCAAAGCCCCAGCCAAACATTTTGTTCTTTCTTATGCATTGAGGGACATAGGAAGTCTTGTACTGTCAGGTAATATTGCCACACACAGGAGGATTGGACACTGGCACACACAAAAAAATTCTATGTGATATGATTACATGCGGTTAGAAAACACTCTCCCTGAATGCACAATCATTACGTCCAGGGAGAGTGATTGATTCTTAACCGAATGTAAACATATCACGTATCTTTACATGCGGTGTGCGGGCGTTTACATGCAACTTCTGTCATTTGATCATTAACTTGAATAGGTGACAGCTGCCGCTTTTAAATGCCAGATTAGGTATTTCTGCTGCAGTAAAACGCAAGTTCCTGATGCAGGAATCCCTAAGTGCACATAAAGATAGAGGTGTGAATGGAGCCTAATACACTTCTACTCCCATATATACATACATACATACATATATATATATACATATACCTGAGATCGGGATATTTCAGCTGTTGCAGAATCCTCAACTTTTCCATTGTAGAAGAAATGACCTTCACCTAAAATGAAAAACAGCTATTTTAAATGCGCGCACTTCACCGGGAGTCTGTTTAAACAGCCCCGATGCTGGCGACGTACACTGTACGTCGTCAGTCACGAAGGGGTTAAATAAATCTGAAAATATATTCACAAATATGAATCAATTATGTTGGTATTTTAGTGCATTATTGTATACATATAATAAAAAAAACTGATATGAAAAACTTTAAAATGGAAAATAAAAAAATTTGAGGAACAGACAACAAAATAATACAAAAAGAAAATAGTATACAACAGAGGCGGCAAATTAGGTGGTCGACCTTAGGCCGCGCCGCTCACAGGGGCCTCACGGCTGCCTAATTTGCCTGACACTTTACCTAAGTTTTGAAGTGACAGGCGACCTTAACACTGCTGTGTGCAGGAAGCATTAAGAGCACTGTCACACCCAAGCCTGCCCCACGCGGTGGTTGCCAAACATCTGATCTGCTGTCACTTCACTTCGGAGGTGACAGGAGACCTTAATGCTGCTGTGCGCGCAGGCAGTGTTAAGAGCCCTGTCACACTCACCTCTCGTGCGGAGGGGTTTAGTCTTTGCTGGTGGTTGAAGCATAATTTATTTCTGTGCAAAGCACAGCAACTGAAGAAAAGAGAAACAAATCATAAAATACGATCATTATGATCAAATATCATTATTTTGTATATTTATATTGTCTGTGGGGGCATAATGTATTGTGTACACAAAGTCTAGAGCCACCTCTGGTATACAATATCCAGTCCAATTAAACAAGAGTAATTCTATTTTCTTTAACATGACTAAAGATAAGTCCACGTATCAGACCCAATAAATACAAAACTATAAGTTTCACTATTAAGAAACCTTCCTAGGAGCACATATATACAATCCACTCAAAGAACATATTGAAGGTATTGAAGTACTGTAAAATATTTACAGGGTAAGTCACAAAAGGGTGAAGAGTTTGGAGAAGGCAGGAGAAGTGAACAATCTAGGACAACATAGCTGAACTGGAAAGTGAGCTGAATTGGAGAATTTTTCCATATCAGCTATGTTGTCCTATATTGTTCACTTCTCCTGCCTTCTCCAAACTCTTCGCCCTTTTGTGAATAGCCCTGATAATGTTTGGTAAGCAGAGAAGGTATAGCTGTTTTTAAATAAGTTTATTTAAATATGATGAGGACTATACATTTTTTTTTACAAATTCACACTTTACAAACAGAACTAAATAACATATCAGAATGCTCAGTCCGAAGTGTCAGTCAGACAAAGCCAGTCTCGGTGCAGCCTGGCTTTGATTGACACTCATATAAAGTTTTAAAAACTAAACTTAAAGAAACAAAATAATTTGTTCTGATACTCTGTGTTTTTATTCTACACACCCTACAGGTACAGGTTCAAAATATTCTCAGTCTGTCTATCTAGATTCACCTTTTCAAGTTGGAGACATTTTACCTTTAAGCCAGGCATCAATGAACAGAATGCCAACAGCTATATTATACTTCAGACCAAACAAAGTTACTCCACCCTAAACACAAGAAAAAGCAGGAAATGATAACATTAAAAACTGGATTTACAATGTATATATCAGATACAGATCAGTCTACAGCCAAATGTTACAGCCAGCTGCTACAATCTCTTTTAACATTTGTCATTTAAAGATTCCTGATTTGATAAATTATCTAGCAATTGATTCCGAAGAAGAACCCCACCCCCTAATTTGCTTCTCCCGCCATACAAATTTGCTCCACTTCGGCCTAAAATCCTATTTGGCATTATTCTCCCTTTTGACCAGCTGCTAATTGTCACCCTTCTGGAATTACCAGCCCAGCATACCTGACTTGTGAATTGGTATCCCTATGGTAAGCATGCAATGATCCTGTGGCCCCCTGCCATGCTGGTACCAGCCTACATGCCCTTTATCATTGGAAGTGCTTAAAGAAAAGTCCCCAAACAAGGGAACCCACCCAAAGAATGCACAGCTGATGGTCTTTTTAATGCCTGATGAACAGGAAATGTGCTGGCATGGTGGTGGGGGGAAATTATGTGCAACCCACCAGCCCCCATAGTGCAAGCAAGATACCACGGCTCCCTGGTGAAAAGATAACATGGACATTTACAATGCTTTTACCCATTAACTGCAGGTTTGGGAACCACAGGGGTCAAGATGAATTACAGCAGAAGTAGCATTTGACCACTGCGAAGTGTTATGTGCATGTTAATGTACCAAATCTGATGTCACACTAGAAGACAAGGAAAACTACACTAGCAGTAGTTGTATACTGGTATGCATAACGCAAAGGTAATTGTTGGAGTTTGTTACTGAAGAGATAGAGACTCAGCTCCTTAAACAGATAGAAATGGCTGCAAGGACGGGGACAGTAGTATTAATGGGAGATTTTAATTATCCTGACATTTACTGGCATAATGGCACTGCTGGAATAGTAAAAGGCCGGACATTTATACACTTATTACATGATAATTTTATGGTACAGTTTGTAGAAGCCCCAACTAGAAAAGATGCTTTTTTTTTTTTTTAAAGATGCCCCTTAAAAGAAAACTCAGAGTTGGTAACTGGGGACAATGAGAAGGCAAATCTATTAAATACTTTCTTCAGCTCTGTGCACACCAAGGACCATGATATAACTCAAGTCCATAATGGGGATAGCAGTGCCATACCCTCTACCGAACCACAATGGCTGACTATTGATATGGTCCAGAAACAGTTAGACAAAATTAAGGTGAACAAAGCGCCTGGACTGGATGAGTTACACCCATGTGTCCTCAAAGAATTGAGCTGTGTAATTTCAAAGCCATTGTATCTAATTTTTAGAGACTTTCTAAAGACTGACTTGGTACCGATGGATTGGCGCAAGGTCAATGTGGTGCCTATATATAAAAAGGGATCAAAGTCTTTACCAAGTATTTACAGACCTGTAAGTTTAACCTCAATAGTTGGCAAGATACTTGAAAGTTTGATCAAGGATCACATGCAATTGTTTTTGCTTGAAAATAATATCATAAGCGATAGTCAGCACAAATTCACAAAAGACAGAAGTTGTCAAACAAACCTACTTTCTTTTTATGAGGAAGTGAGTAATAAATTGGACAGAGGAATGGCTGTGGATATAGTATACTTGGACTTTGCAAAAGCGTTTTACACAGTTCCCCACATGCGGCTAATGTATAAGTTAAGGTCAGTAGGTATAGAGTATTCCATCTGTAATTGGGTAGAAAACTTTCTTAAAGACCGTATTCAGAGAGTGATGATCAATGATTCATACTCTGAATGGTCTGAGGTTGTTAGTGATGTCCTCCAAGGTTCAGTGTTATACCTATTTTTAAATGACATAGAATTGGGGATTAAAAGTACTATTTGTGTGTTTGCAGATGACACTAAGTTATGTAGTGTAAACAGTCCTTACAGGAGGTCTCCAACTTACAAGCAGATCTGAATGCACTGTGTGATTGGCATCTATTTGGCAAATGAGGTTTAATGTTGATAAATGTAAAGTTCTGCACTTGGGGACTGGAAACATGCATGCGTCCTATACTCTGGGGGGGAGTATGTTTGGGGGTGTCAATGATGGAGAAAGATCTGGGTGTTCTGGTAGATCATAGACTCAATAATAGCATGCAATGTCAAGCTGCAGTTTCTAAAGCAAGCAAAATACAAGACATGTGCACTGTCAAAAAATTAGTTTAGTTTCGTTTTAATTCCGATTTTGTGTTATTTAGTTTTTCGGGATTCGGGTGTAAAAGTCAATTTGGATTCGGACAAAATTAGTTAGCGGTAGTTCGTTCGAACTTTCGTTTTCGTTTCTTATTTGTTTCGTTCAATCGTTCGTTCGTTTACAGCAAAGTGACATTTGAAGGGGAAAAAATGTTTTTCTCCTTCTCTATTGCCACTTTGCTGCAACGAACGAACGAACGAAACGAATAAGAAACGAAAACGAAACGAACGGCCGAGGGGTATAGACTCCAGAGATAGAGAAATAATCCTGCCCCTGTACAAGGCATTAGTAAGACCTCATCCGGAATATGCAGTTCAGTTTTGCGCACCAGTTCACAAAAAGGCTGTTGTGGAACTGGAGAAAGTGCAGCGAAGGGCGACCAAACTCATAAGAGGCATGAAGGAGCTCAGCTATGAGGAACGATTAGCTGACCTGAATTTGTTCTCTCTGGAGAAGAGGCGATTAAGGGGGAACATGATCACCATGTATAAATACATAAATGGTCCATATAAAGAGCTTGGTGCCAAATTGTTCACGTTAAGGTCACTGCAAAGGACAAGGGGGCACTCTTTGCGTCTGGAGGAAAAGAGGTTTAACCTTTGCATACGGAAAGGATTCTTCACAGTTAGAGCTGTGAAAATGTGGAATAGACTCCCCCAGGAGCTTGTTCTAGCTAGCTTGGTTAATTGTTTTAAAAAACATCTGGATGTATTCCTTAAAGGAGAACTATGGGGTTAAGGCTTTTCCCCATAGTTCTCCTTAGGGTAACGGGAGGACACAAACTAGCGTCCTCCCGTCACCCTAGGCTCAGTATACCGCGAGCTGTAGCTCGCGGTATACTGAGACACCGCAGCTGAAGCGGATCCCAACAATTATGTCTGGATCCGCCCAGCTGCGTGACTGACAGCTGGCTCTGCCTTTCTAGAGGCAGAGCCAGTTGTACCCACCCCCTCCCCCGGCCGTTCCGCCAGTCAGCGCTGGCGGATCGGAGCGGGGAGGGGGGAATCCAGCCCCTCCCCTGTCCTGGCAGAGAGCTGTGACAGGATCGAGAGGTGAGCGAACGTCGGTATGTGTTCGCTCACCTCCTGATCTTCTGAGCCGACCTGTCACCTCTCATTGTCACGGTTGGCTAGAACTATGAGGTGAGTGAAAAGCACTCACCTCATAGTTCTCATTTAATGCACAGAATATTACTGGATATTGAGTTCTTATAGGTATATCAAGCATCAGAGATTGTTGATCCAGGGAATATCCGATTGCCTTATGGGATCAGGAAGGAATTTTTTTCCTGTTGGAGCAAATTGAACCATGCTTTATAGGGTTTTTTTTTGCCTTCCTCTGGATCAACATTGGGGAATTGTGGGCATAGTGTTCTGTTTATCTCTATAGGTTGGACTCGATGGACTTGTGTCTTTTTTCAACCTGACTAACTATGTAACTGTGTAGAATAGGCATCAGAAGATAAAGTTCAACTCCAACTCATGAAAGCCTTTAAAAGACTTCCAGCTACACCATACTTGGATGAAAGATTGAAATAATTTTATGTGAGAGGCTGTCATTTCTTACAAGCACAGTATTTGATTAAGGGCGTATCTCCTTTCTACATCCACTGCAATTATGATCCGTAGCAATGGAAGCAGAAAGAGTTGTAAAGAGCCTTATTACCTCAGATATGGAACCTGGTGTTAGTTATAAAAAAAAGTCACCTTAGGGCGTGCATGTGCCTTTTACCGACTAATATTTGGTGCCAGGTGGGTTTTGTTTTTACATTTCATAATTTTTTGTGATTTTTGAGTCTCTGAAACATAAGCTAATCTGTATTTAATTAAATGTGCAAAGTAAGAGGTTGTTCTACTTACAGCAGGCATAGTAAGTAAGTCTAACTGGGTGATCTTCACAGCTGGTATAACATGTAATTGGTTTGATCCATCTGTGTGCTCCTGGAAAAGCTAAACAATATGAGAACATAGAGGATTAAGGAATGTCAACCAAAAGGACTATTTCTCAGCAATATCACAGTGACCCTGCACAGGTCCTCTATGGCAGCTCTTGCCTCCCAACTTGCATTTTAAAGCAGTAGTAAAGTGGGCACAAAAAAAGAAACAAAATGCTCGACGGTGATTCCATCTTCACCTGGAATTCTTCTAGGTTTGACGGCTTCGGCCTCTTGAATGGTCGTGCCTGCACGATGTAACTTCAATGCATGCAAGTTACTGCATTTGCACACAGGACGTTCCTGAGCCTGTGCAGCTGTGCATCTCAATACAAATGAGTAAACTAAAAATGAGATTGTAGTCCATCACGGGAGTGAGTTTGGAGTGGTAACTACTTTACAACACACATAGGGACCATGGGGAACAAAAGTGGCCACCCTCCAGAAGGAAGGACAGCGTCAGCACCAATTCAGAGATGATTTGAGGATCTGCAGCTGAGTGAAATAAGATAAATTTTTGTTAATAGGTGCTTGTATGCATTTTTAAGATTTTACTCCTGAGTTTAGTGCCACTTAAAGTTTATTTTACCTTCTGCATCGGCAACACCAGATCAATGTCGTACACCATGAATCCATCCACTCCCGCATTAATTTCAAAAAGCTTTGATCTAAAATGGAGATTTATGTCAACAAACAATGTTCCTAAAGATTCCTGTTATAGATACAATATTTTATACTCTAGCTTAGAATTCTGGAGTTATTAAATGAAACACTTTCTTTATTGTCAAAAACTTTTTATAGGATTGGCAGGATTATGCCTCTAGATAGGCAGCATGCATGCATTTCTGGGTGCCAAGAGGTCCAAGTCAGAAGCTGGGCCAAACCAAGTTCGGGATGTATTGGGATATTCACACTTCTGCACTACAAAGAACACATGTATTTTTAATCTGTATTTTGAAGGCATCTATTACTGCATTGCAGGGCATTTGTGACACATTTGGAACATTTTAGCATTTTGCTGCATGTGTCCATAGCAAGATATTTCCAGTATTTAATGTACTGCTGCATGCTGTAAAACCCCATGTAAGACACACATCTAAGCACTGATTCATCAAGCAGCATAAGGTAACCATACAATCTCCTTTAGATAAAAAAAAAACACCTACTTCCCCTACCCTGCCAGACAGGACTGTGTGTGGCAGAACTGTACAAATCTCAGGCTTGGATGGTATACAGTAGTCAAATCTGATAGTGAACTGTATATGAAGAAACAACAGCAAAGTATTCTTGCAAATCCTTCTAAAATGTTAGCAAGATTCCACAAAAACAACCCTATCACTACATCATAGGTCTTTGACTAGCATGTACTGTATGCCACGGTATGTTTTGTTAATAGTTCACTTAAAACTGCATGAAATGATTTGGTGAAAACTGACTGAGATGTAGCAGCACATTCTGGGCTTTCATTTGTAGCAAGGACTCTAGTACATAGTGGCCTATTTGAGTGGGCTAGATATTTGTTGTTCACCTTTTGACGGCTGCCATGACACTGTGATACTCTTCACTCTCTTTGTCCTGAGGGAGCAGCAGGGCAGCCATGCCGCCTGTAGCCAGAGCTCCTCGCCGATGACATGTCTGGACCAATAAATCCATGTAGCTTTTGAGAAACTTTTTCTCCATGTTTACATACTTACTGCGATCCGGCAATAAGAACTCCAATCTATGTCCTAAAATGTTGGAAACAATTATTCATAAATATAAACATAGAAAATGATCTGAATGTTTTACAAGCAACTGAAAATTAGTAATTATTAAACAAAATCGTGATTTTTCCCAACAACCAAATCCCACTAAGCTTTGGCCTGTTTAACTTCAGAAGCAGAACACAAGGTGCAGAGAGATCCTTGTTCTCTCAAATAAAGGGACAGGCTATTATTCAAAGATGGAAGGCAGGACAGGAATACATAAAAGCAGCATTACTACTTTTATCTGTCACTTCCCAGATGTACAAATGACTACCAGCCATACGGATAGAAGTCTGATATTGCACAGCTCCTTAAATTGAACCTGAACCCAAAAAGTAACGATCTGCTATGTTAACCGGGTCCATCTAGAAATGTTAATTATGCCTAAGCAGCACTCCTCAGAATTCCTCCTGAAAAATAGCAGTGCGTTCCTATGCCCTTTACACCACTGTACTTACAGCCTCATAACTGGATATCTGCAGTGAGAGCATCTTAGCCATTTGCTGCCTCTGACTGCTAGTCTCACATGATTTGGAGTAAGATTTGGTGCTGTAACCATGGTGCTGCTTCCTGGAAAGGATGGACCCACAGTGCAAGGAGCCCGCTGCTTCTGTTTCATTCATTCTATGGATCTGTGCTTTGCAGTGATGGACTGTGCCTTCTGCGCTGGGTGAGGCATCCCCCAGCCCGCCAAGGCCCCGTCCCACCTAAGTCCGCCCCATCTCACCGAAGCTCTGCCCTCAGCTCAGTAACCAAGCTGTGTGGGGAGGAGGAAGGGAGGAGCCTCCCTGTCCCTCACTTGCTCTTCACTGGTGAGGCATCGAGATCGATAGTTTTTTTTTTCTTTTTTTTGATTGGACAGCTTGGACCAATGGCACTTTGCCATTGGTCCAAGCCATCCACAGAGCTCACTCCTCTCACATAGAGGCTAGTAGTAGAGGCTGTGACAGCTCTTGCCTCACCAAGTTAAGTTACACAACCTAACTACCTGTGAAAAGCCAGATGCAGCACTGCCTGTAATTAACACACAGCGCTCCATCCGTGACAGGTTACACAGTGGGGAGGATTTCCCTGCAGTGTCACCTGTAACAAGCCGCTCTGAATGGAGACAAAGCTGTCAGCTTCAGACTTGAAGCTGACACCTTTTTTCTTCATAATACTAGGTGAGGCTTGGCCTCACCTGCCTCCCCTGACCACATGTCCCTGGTGCTATGTGCACTTCATTTGCTGCTTCCTGAATATTCATCCACTAGTTATCAGATCACCAAACAATAGGGGGGCAGCTCTGAAACAAGGAAGCAAAGTCCTGTTACCCTACCAAGATGGCTGTCTCCCCACAGAGACGCAGTACAGAACAAGGCATGGAAAGTTATTAATAGGAAAATGATCAGCTGGAGGAAGCTCGCAGATCATAGTCATGGCCAGTCTTTTGTCTCTGCTTGCCTTTGTTGGGAACAGCCCTCACTGCTCAGTTTGTTAAGTATGCAAAGGAAAGGAGAGATGGAAGAAAATACAACCTTCTAAAATGTCCTAATAAATGTTAATAAACAGAAGTTATTTTAAGTGTATTTGTTACCAAATTTGTTAACAAAAGATGCTGAGTAATCCCAGATGCCGCAGTTCAGCCCAGCAGAATGTTGTCTGAGCTCATACAGGATTTCTTCCATTTCAAAGGAAGCCAGCACACTTTCGATTAGCACTGTAGCCTTTATGCTTCCCAAAGGTAGGCTAAGCTACATAGTAAAATGACAGAATAAAAGAATAAAATACAGGTGAAACACGAATAATTACAATATCGTGCAAAGTTCATTTATTTCACTAATGCAACTTAAAAGGTGAAACTAATATATGAGATAGACTCATTACATGCAAAGCAAGATAGTTCAAGCCGTGATTTGTCATAATTGTGATGATTATGGCTTACAGCTCATGAAAACCCCAAGAACCCCAAATCCACAACCTCAAAAAAGTAGATTATTACATGCAATCAATAAAACAAGGATTGTACATAGAACAATATCGGACCTCTGAAAAGTACAAGCATGCATATGTACTCAGTACTTGGTTTGGGCCCCTTTTGCAGCACTTACTGCAATTACTTTTGCACGATATTCTAATTATTCGAGTTTCACCTGTACAAACATCAACTATATGATCCAGAATGAAATACAAAAAGTTGCTTTTTTTTCTTTCTAGAGGACTAGTAGCACGATTTCCCCACCAAGGGAGAACACATGCTTTTCTTGCTTAGGAATCTACAGAATAAACTCCATGCACTCACCTGTAATTTGTGGTTTGCACAAACTCATGCCACTATCATCGCAAGACTACCTCATTGTGATACATGTCCCCTAAAGACAGGCCCACCCATACTTTGAGATTACTAGGTCTGGAGACCCTTTTTATTAGTTATTATTATTATTACTCTGCTCAACTAGCACATCGGGTATTATAGCATTCTACCAGAGAAATACCTCAGTGGCTAGGCATAGAAGCAGCTGCATTCCACCCATTAACAGATAATGGGTTCACCCCAGGACAGAGCAGCGAACTCAAATCTGATTATACAGTATATTGGATGATATTATTTTTAGGAAACTTCCTCTTCCCCCAAATCCTAGTACCTACGCAGTCTCTCCTTTTACCCTTTTATCCAACCTGGTACTCCATGGGATTCTTATGAATATCTCCCCATGTTCTCTTAGCTTTTTTGTGTTGATTTTCTTTTACTGATCAGAGCGCAGAGTTCTTTGAACCTGAGGAAAGCTGTCAGTGTACATCCAAAACTTAAATAGCGTCCGAGGATGCACCGATACCAGTTTTTCGGTACCGAGTACGAGTTACGATATTTCTGTTTTGGTACTCAGCAATACCGAATACCGATACCTGAAGTCCTATTAAGGAAGCAAGGCGGCGTGTAATGACTCGCCGCCTGGCTTCCTGATTAGCCGGGAAGCTGGCTCCGTGCTCCCTCGTCACCAGTGGACAAGGAAGCATGGAGCTGGTTTTCTGTCCAATCAGGAAGCCAGGGGGTTGGTAATGACTCGCCGCCCACCTTCCTGACACCGGAAGTTCCGGTATCGAGATAAGCACCGGGAGCATTTGGGCAAGTACGAGTATCGTATCGGTGCATCCCTAGCGTCCACTATGCAATCATGGGAATGCAAAAATACTGCTTTTATTTATTTTCCTTCCACGTGATTGGATATTGTTTGAAAAGTGAATTTTCACCACATTTCTTAAGCTGAAGGAAAATTCCTTACCAAAGTGAATAGCCAATTTTTCCTTTAATAAATCAACCCCATTACATAGAAAAGTAAAGTTGGGTTGTAGGTAAATTTGACCAAACCTTGAAACGGGTAGGCAAAGCATGTGGCTTAGTGCCGAACGCATGGAAGAGTTAGATTATTTTTAAACAATAATGGATACTTTGATATTCTGCAGGCATGGTGCACATCCCTATCATACTCCAAGATTATAAAGCATAGAAATATAACAGCTATACCAGAATCTCATACAATTATTATATCACCTTTTTCTCAGTCCATACAAATATCTGATTCCACAGTCTGGCCTCATGAAAGCTTTCCACCTGGAATAAATGTAAACTTGATGTAAACTTAACTTCTTTGTATTATATTTGTATGTAAAATGTGACCTTTTGTGGATTAACAATGTGTTGACCAACTAGGCTTTCAGAGGTAAAATGTATTTTAATATGCTTGTGTCAGCTTTTAAGAAAGTCAGACATTGAAACTGGTTAAAGTATAACCCGTTATTTTTTTTTATGTGGACAGACTGGTGAGAGGTTAGAGCCCTTGTCAGGTTTTTATTGCTGTAGTTGTTCCTTTTAGTGAGATTTACTCTCTAATCCTGTGCATGGCTCCTCCCGTTTGCGTCCCTGGTAGCACTGGTAACCCCGCTAGTGGGAGTGACCTACTGCGCTCGCAGAATCGGCAGCGACTGAGGTGACTCCTTCTCTGCTTTTGTCTGGGGCTTCCACTCTACACTGGAGAGACAAGTGTACTGATGTCCCCCTGCTTCTTTGATAATCGGCGATGTGGCCGGTATCCACGGATTTCCGTGTGTGGCTCTCTTTCATTGACATCTTTTGGACTGGACAAGACTGACTTTGTCTGACGAGTACTTCCAAGGTGGGCCTCCATCTTCTGCAATGAGCGAGCTCCCGATTCATAGCTGATTGGAGGTAACCTTACACACTATATCATATACATTGTGGTCTATTATGTTTTACAATCTGCCATTCTCATGCATTTGCAGTTGGCGGGAATATGACGCTGGTGATGACGTCATGGGGTCAGATTGGGGGTTGGTGATTGGCCGCTTTGATTAGGGTTGGTGCTATATATCAGTCATGTTTTTGTGCACTTACACTGTATGCTTTGCCTGATGAAGGGGATCCCTTGTGACCCCGAAACGTTCGTTGCTGTTTATTGCTATGTCGCACGTCAATAAATAGACGTTTTTGCCTGCTAATTTGGAGTGCCGGTGTCTCTGTTTCTATTCTTTCACTTGGGACACAACTGTCTAAGAGGGAATTTCCCTCACTTTCGAAAAATATTCTCTCACTTCCACAAAATAGGAAGCGAAGGCAAATCTCTAAAATGCAAAACCTGGGTTAACATTTTCCTATATGTGCAATGTACCTCATGTACACCTTGGGAGAATCCAAAAAAATCAATGCAACTTTGTTCAAGAATCACTATGGTGAAGAAACATTGTATTCCGATGACCATAATAAAATGTACACACGTAACTGAGGCATTTCTGTGGCATTTCATTTGAAGACTTGCACTTGTGTGGTCATATACAGACCCTTGTTATTTCACATGTATTTATATATATTTTATACAAACTTTTACACACACAGACCAATCCATCCAGCAAAAGTAGCAGTGATCAGTATTGGGACAAATATTAAATAAAGCCAGGTATACACGCTTCGAATAAATCAATTTATTGAGAACCAGCCGAAATTTGCTGTGTGGGTGCTGCTGTCAGCGCCTTTCCAACCGGCATCCCTCGATCAGCTGATCAAAGGAGCATGTTGGAAAATTGACGACTGAACAGAGCTGGTGGCTGTTGTCAGGATACAAAGGAAACAGCCGGAGATTCTTCGATCAGCGTTTGTAAGCATTGATGGAGGAATCAGTTCTATTTTCTTCATTCAGCCGTCAGGTTGAAGAGAGAAAATAGAAGCTTCAAATAGATGCTTTGTAGGCATCCCAGGCTTCAAGTTTACACAGGAAAAACAATAGGACAAAAATATACAACCAGTACTAAGGATTGTTCTGAGATTTCTGCTTGAGTACACAAGTAAAACTGATCAGATACTAGGGAGGATCGGGGCAAGACAGGGAAGTAGTGAGAGGAAATGAGGATATACACAAGGAAGGGATATGTTATACACTTAAAGTGACCTTAAACCCTCAGATTTTTTAACATAAAACAATAGTGTAATGTGTGCCTTACTGTAATCCATGGTTGTTTCCCTTCTCTTTGCTGCTCTTCCTTTTAAATCTGTATCTGTTCTCATGCTGGGCAGAACTTCTGTTTTGCAGCAGACTGCCTTGTCTCTGAAATGGATACATGGTGTCTGTGTGTAGGTTCACAACCTGAGCCAGCACTACAGGAAGAGGCACTCAGCTGCAAAGGGAAGTTCTCCCCTAGCATGAGAAGACATGAGGATTTAAAAGGAAGAGCAGCAAAGAGAAGGGAAACTACCATGGATTACAGTAAGGCACACATTACAGTATTGTTTATGTTAATAAATCTGAGGGTTTAATGTCACTTTAAGGGTAAACACGTAAAATACACACAAAACTAACCGACATGAAATATGGAATATAGAGGACGAAATATCACAATACCCGACTTTAGTGTTTTGGAGCAGTTGTAACAACAGGTTTTTGGAAGATTTAATGGAAACTTAGTCTGAGAGAATGCTTGGGCTGCCACTGCTATAAAAAAATGCTGTTGTGCTTCATTTCTAAGCCACTGACAAGTATGCAGGAGTTCTGACTTTCTAATCTGTATGCTTTTCTCAGGTCAGTGAAAGCAGTAAAGCCAGAAACAGCCAAATAGTATTTTTTAGAAGTGGGTCAGAAATGCATGCCCCCACATCATATCCCTATTGGTTTCCTTGAACCATGTGAATAAAAGGCGTAAGCACCTCTGGCAGTGTTATAGAGTGTTGCAACACCTGTCATGTAAACTTTCAATGGCCACATCATTTGTAAATCTCCAACTGCTATCCATTGTCTATAAGTACCATAAAATTCTATATCATTTTGCAAACATCATAACCTAACAAAACAAATATTGAAAAAAAAATGATTTATACAAATTTACAACCCGACAGACAGAAATAAACTCAATTGCTGGTCCTCAACCAATGGCTGTTAAACTTATAATTAATGTACCGTATGTTTCAGATACTCTCTATGTTGTTCCCACTATCTGCCTGCTATTGCTGAACACTGCTTAGGAGCTGACATATATTATACCTTTGATAAGTAGAAAAAAGGTCCACTTTTCCTTTCATAAAGTATTCTTCCAGTGTGGTATATCAGTAGACCAAAATCAAAGAGAGGACCAGGGATCTCCCTGCCATTTACCTGAAAATAAGAAATTATTATATTCAGTACCAGTATTACCACAGCTATTATCTATGTACACTGACAATATTATGGCAAAAACCTTTTTGTGACTGAGCATTACTTATTCATGGCAGAAATCCATATCCAAAGCACATACATTAGACAGTGATCACATATGAGAACATAATCTAATGGACCAACAATTGTTTACATAAATGATCACTGCCTAAACTTGCATTTATGTATGTGTATGCAATGTAGGAGACTTTGTAGGCATCCCAAGCCCCACATTTACACAGGGAAAAAAATAGCACTTAGGACAAAAATATACAACTAGTACTAAGAATTGTTTCTGAGATGTCTGCTTGAGTACACACGTAAAACTGATCAGATACATAAAAGTGATCTTGTTTAATTTACTAAAAAATAATGGCATAAGAAGAGTGTCACGTGACTAAGCAGCAGTGCATTATACAGTATTGTACAGTAGATAAGGCACACATGTCATACAACACTGGTAAAACATTGTTTATTTAAAAAAAAGGGTTAATTGTGCATTATTATTACAAATTACCAGCATGTTGTGCTCTACCATGTTCCATGCTCTTGGTCTGAGCATTAACACTGGGGCCTCTGAGATTGGAGGTATACCTATAGGTGGAATGACACACATACAATGAGACACAAACTCCATGTGTAATGTATTTAATTCTGTTTGCACATCCTTTAAGGTATATGATATGTGTAGTATGTTACCTGGTACTTTGTTATAAACAACTTGATAAACATTGAAGATTCCTTTTATTTGATTGAAGAATGTTGGACAATTTCCATCATCAAAGTCCACCTAAGTAAGAAAACAAATGAGAACTCTTTGGAATGGCTGCCATCATATAAGAAGTGATTCCTAAATGCTTTGCTTGTGTTCTGGTATCAGGTGCTCGGGTACAGCTTCCTCTCCAGCAAGCACAATGAGCAGTACAGGAGTGACATCACCATAGCTCATAAAACTAGCAGTCAGAGGCAGCAGTGCCTTAGTTTTCACAATGCTTATTTACATCTATGAGGCTCAATGCACATGAGTGCCTAGACAGTAATCTTTTCCCCATTACTAACTTACCAGCCTTGCTCTGCATTGCGTCTCTACCAAGATGGCCACCTTCACACAGAGGTACAGTGCAGATGAATCATGGTAAGTCAGCAATGCACAAAAGATCAGCTAGAGGAAGCCTAAAGGTCAAGACTGATGACTAGTCATTTGACTTCTGCTTGCCTTTTCTTGGCACAGCTTTCACAGTTCTGGTCCTATTTAAGTGCACTATTGTTTTGACATCTAGTATTTGTCCAGATCTAATGTTAGCTGGAAGTGCCTTGTTATTTTTCAGGAGAAATTTAAGACAAATGGTAAATCTTCCTGGGGACTGCTTAGGCACAATTAACAGTTGTAGATGTTACCTATAAGATAGCAAATCTTCACTTTTTGAGATCAGGTCCACTTTAAAATACAGTGCCACTAATGCTTGAACTAACTGAAGTCAAACTTTTTTTTTTAGTTTTGTGTCCCATTGAGGAGATTTACCTTAATTTTCTGTCCGACTGCCACAACAGGAAGTTAGAAGAAATCCCTCCAAACAGAGGGAAATCCCTGATGGTCATCAGGGTCACCAAAACTAGTATCCGCATTGGAAGATTTTCCACCAAAGGATTCAATTTCTATCAATGGCTATCAATAAAATATACATTTCATCAACCAAAAGCCTGCAAAGAAAAGGTTGGATGTTACTAGGGATACACCTATATATCGGCCGAAAATGGCACTTTTGGCATAATGCCGAAAGTGCCATTTTCCTGACGATACATTGGCGCATCCCGGCTTTCTCTCCTCCCCGCTGGGCGCTGCTCTGTGTCCCAGCGGGGAGGAGAGAAAGTGACAGCCTGCCGAGCGCTGCAGGAGGAGAGCGTTGTGAGCGGCCGGCGTCTCTCCTCCCACACCGCTCAGCCTCCTATCACAGTCCAGCAGAGCGGTGTGTGGGGGCGGAGACAGGCCACACTGTCACAGGAGGCTGAGCTCCCCTCCCTAAACCGCTCAATCAGCCTCCGGTGACAACGTGTCAGAGAGGAGAGCAAAACAGAAAAATGGTCACCAGCACTCCAGGTTTTCTTCAAAACTAAATCCTTTTATTCATTCTCACAGGTCATATCACCATGCGTGGCAACGTTTCGGAACCTGTCCGGTCCCTTCATCAGGCAAACAAAAGTGATAATTTTTCTGTTTTGCAAGTATTTGGCGGCGCCATCTGCGGCTACTTCAGGAAACTCTCTATTTGACTATATTTAGAGAGGAGAGCAAGGTACAAACATTAAGGCCCCAATTACACGTGGCGATTTCCGCCGGGGAATATCGCGCATTTTTGCCGCTGGATATCGCGAGAAGTCGCCAGCTAATTATATTCAATGGAGCTGTCTTAGCTCTATGTCGCTCGTCGCGGTCGCAAGTCGCTTCTACAGGACCCTTTTTTCGGCGGATTTTGCTTTTTTCTAATGGAGTCCGACTGAGAAGGTCACGCTACTGTCGCTGGATCGTCGCTGGAATGTCGCCCCGAAAGTCGCGCTATCCCGGCCGCTGCAAAAGGTATGTTGCTACGTGTGAATGGGGCCTTAGGCTCTGTTCACACCTAGGCGTATCAAATATGCGCGTTTGTCGTGAGTTTCGTGACGCGCATTTTTACTGCGATTCGCGTTAAAAAAACGCGCAACAAACACGCGTTTCCGAGGGCTACTTTGCTGTATCCCAATGGAAACGTGTGACAAAAACCCATAGAAAACAATGGGATTTTCATGTTTGAGCGTTTTGTAGAGCGATCGTAGAGCGTTGAACGCGTTACAAAACGTACAGGGATCAGTGATGGCTGAGTGTTTTGTACATAATTGAGGATATGGTATGTTAACTATATCCTCAATTATGAAGGAATGGGAGTGATCTACATCACCTCCTGTTCATTCATGATTGTGGTTATAGTAAATATACCATGACCTCAAGTTATGAATGAACAGGAACATTTCCTGGTCATTGATAACAGGGGACACAGAAAAAGAGATTGAGGATTTTGTGTCATAAATCTCTTTTTCTATTTTAAAAGGGAAATATCAGGAATCTGTTTGGACCCCCAATATTTCCCCAAAGCCCCTAAAAGTAATGTAAAAAATACAAATATTTAATTAAAAATGAATTAATAAATAAAAATAAAGATACAAAATTAAAAAGTTTATAAAAAATAAATTAAAATAAAATATTCGAAAAAATAATAATAAAAAACATTTCCGGTTTCGGCCTGAAATTATTTTTTTATTTCGGTTTCGTTTCGGTTTA